CTTCCTTTACTTGCAGAGATAAAAAATAGTGTTCTAATTCAGATGGTGAGTCCTTGGACATGGGCCACCTGCCAGCACAGGTGTCACTCCAGCTTGTCAGCACTGATAAGCCATTGATTAAAACAAGGATCCAAGAGATTTCGGGCTGTAGGTGTGCAGTCTTGCCGTGTAGCTCAACCCCAGAAAGCAGTGTGTGTGCCCCTAATAGCATCTGGCCCAGCACACTTCTGGAAGCACTACAAGAACCATGCAAAGCATGGCTAACCAGCAGAAGAAAGCATGGTGACATGGCCTTTCTTCTGGGGCTTTTCCTGTCCAAATGACTTTAATCACTTCGGGTTAACTCGCTTTTTCAGCCTCAGCTAACACAACTGCAGTTGGTCAATATTGATTCTTTTCTAATAGTTTTAATGCCCTCAGTCTCTTGAATTAAATGGTTTTAAGTATAAATAGCTGCTGAGAATATGGTTTGGTTAGTAAATAAAACCTGAATTTTTTTCTTAGCCACTATTTTCAGGAGACACTTTTTATTTGTGAGTATTGTTTGAAGGCTATTGTTACACGTAGCTCTTTTCCAGGTGGCCAGGGAGTTGGCTGACCAGTCAACACTCTGCAATGGACTTAACCTGGGAATTTAATTGCAAGGCTGTACTGTTGGCAGGAGGTTTGTACCTTCAGGGATGTGCTTCTGCATAGTCAGTCACCCTTTTAGTTACACCAGTACAGCTGTAAACAGAACCACTGAAATGAGCCATGCTGTGGGACATCCAGAACTCTGGAATAACAAAACATTAATCTTTTTGGAGAGTTTTGTTATTCTGGATCAATGAAAGATCTGTTGTTATTGTGGGAGTGATCTCCTCCTTGCAAGCAGCACTTGAGGGCAAAACTGGTGTGAGCACAGAGACAAACGTTTGGCTGGGGGAAGTAGCTGATTGTCAAACCCACTGACTGACAGAAGACACAGTAAGCTACATTTTGATTCTGCCTCTTAAAACAGCATTTTGGATTTGTTTCTACTCCTGCTGTATATAGAAAAGCATTTGGGGGAAAAATAGCCTCAAGTCGTGGGCTCTGGAAACCCCTAGAATTGGAGCTTTGTAAGCATTCTGTTCAGGTCATCTGGCACTTCCTCCACTGCTCTTGACACCTGTTAATGTAGTCTGTCGTAGATCTCTGACCTTCCCCAGGACAATGAAACGAGCAGACTTCCTGCCTTTCTAAAAGCCCTGCAAGCAAGATAAATTTTGCTTCCAACAACTTAGGCATCACTTGGGTGGGTTGTGGGTTTTTGTGTGTGTGTGTGCGTGCATTTGGAATGTATTGGCTTCTGGGTGAATTTATTGTCATTTAACCTATTATCAATCTGCTGAAATTGGAATCCTAATGAATATATTATGGATATGCAGGCAGCACATATACCAAATGATATCTAACTTTATACAGCAATAAAGCACCCCTTGTTCTTTCTAAACTCTTACTTGGCTCCTCTTACCATGTCACCTAAAAGGATATTTTTTCAGTGGGCAGTTTTTACACTCTTTAGAGGGGAGTTCACAGGGATTTAATTTTTTTCCTGTATCTGATTATATGCCTGTGCTTGGACTATAAACTATGTGATGCTGCTGCCTGCTTTATTCTAGTTGCCCATTTTTGGTTGGCACAGCAACTTGTAAGAGCCATTTTTTAAACAACTGTTTCAGAGTCCTTTAATAGCAATGTGCAGCAGATGAAAGAACACTGCTTGGTGGTTGCTTAGTCCTTCTGGAAATAGGAGACTTGGTTTGAGCTTGGCTGCAGGTCCCACCTTCTCCAGTGCTAGAATATATTTACTGGACAAACAGTGCAGCTGCACTCTTACCTCTTCTACCACCTGCTTGCTGCAACTGTGTAGAATAGGACACAGGTAGCAAGGGCTTTTATGATGGAAAGTTACAAGCAGTTGGTGTCTCAAAATAGCCCTCAATTCTTAAGTAAAAGTAACTTCCTTGCTGTGTGTGAGTTGGAAACGTGGTGGGTGGAGGAAAGCGAGTTCTTGTGTTACAGGCGTGTGCAACTGCAGGAGAAAAACGAGGGAGAGAGAGAGCTGCCTCTGTACTGGGCTTTTGTGCTATTCCAGGCTCAAAATTGTCATGACAACTAATACTATTTTTCTCTTCAGAATCTTGAAACTGCACTTGGTATTTTAAGGTCATGATAAATGCTTCAGATGGATTGCTGAATTCACTGTTTTGTGTTCCTTTTATGGCTAGTTTTATCTTAAGGAAGAGACTTGCAAAACAGCACCTGTAGTTGTTCCAGATCTCCCTCCTCACGGGTGGTGAATGGTCTGTAGAGGCAGATAACATCTCCAGCAGCAGCCTGTCTGTGTGCACAGTCACACTTCCAGTACATGGGGTGCTTTTAACCTCAGGCCATTGAGCTATTTTGGGTGATGAGGAAGTAAAAAATGACCCGATGCTTGGCATACTTCAGATCTGCACGAGACATTCTGTTGGAAAAATTTCCTTTCTGAGAGTCAGCACCAAGTACACATTAGTTGTATTTCCTTCAGAGATAACCCTACGGGTATCTGTTAGCTTATAACAGCTCACTCCTATCGTAATTTCATCTACTAATCAGTTGTAATGAAGCTATTACCCAAACAGTAATTTTTATGGCCATGTAAGGGTAGTTCAAACAATGAAAATTGATTATCCTGATGCAATGGAACTTGATTTGAGAACTCTGCAAGTCCAGTCGGATATCCTAAAATCTGTCCTGGTGCAATCAAAGAGGTTTACATAAGTAAAATAGATACTGGAGCTTTTTTTTTTTATGTTTGTCACCTGCAGTTCAGCAAAGTGAACTATGCTTAGTTCTTAATTCCCTTCTTAATTCTCTAGAACAGTGCTTCTGTATGTGGACTTGCTGACTAAATAATTGTAACAGGGAATGTGACATATCCAGTTCTATTAAATATCAGAGTAGTGATTCATCGGGTGCTGAGTAACAAGTCAGTGGATGTATGAGACTTAAAGGGAGAGGAAGCATCCTGCTGCACATCCTACTCCTGTCACTGCTGGATCTGTGTATTTGTGAAATACTCCTTGATGGAGGGCTGACTTCAAGCTGGAGGAGTTGGGCTGTAGAGTCTTGATTTCTGTTAAAGCCTGTGCTTTGAGTGTTAAGCAAGAGAATATGCCATTAAAAATCTGAGCTAGAAGTGTTTCAGTATGGCAAGAGCTGCAGTTATGCATTCCAAGTCAGTATTGGGCTTTCTGCTCTATTACGTATTCCCATAAATGGCCAGAGCCTGGACTAAGGCAGTTACTTGTGGAGCCTGGAGCAAGAAGTGCTGCTTGGCATGGGCTAATCCAGCCTTTCTGGCATCTTTAGAACTGAAGTTTCTCTGTGCTTTGGGCAGAAATAATCAGAATGGAACTGTTAAAGAATCACCCTGTGCTCACATGTCCAACTGGGGACTTCTGACCCTGGCTATTTGTTAGCCCTGCAATGCATTTTCACAAACCAATTATAAAAAACTCATTTTCATTTTAGGGAAGGGGACCAAGCCCTGCTTTTGCAGGAGAGCCTGCTGCCTCTGCTGCCAAAGGCTGGTTCTGGAAGCCCTCAGAGGTCACTGTGCCAGACCACTGCTCTTAGGGCTCCCCTTGGACCTGCACATGTGCCAGGCAGCCCCACATCAAGTCACCCAGCTGGACTGCTTTAATCCCTTGTGCTACAAGAGTTGCTGCTCTTGGAGAGAGCTTACTCAGAAGTAGTAAGATTTTTTAGTAGCAGCACCTGCTATCCTTTGCCTCAAGAACTTTCTCCAGATATGCCCCACAGCTGAATTGACAGGAGACTGACTGGTGGAAGCTTTCAGATCTTTTTTAGCTACCTGATCAGTTGTTGTTCTCTGCACTTAAATCAAACTCTTCTTCTAGATGCTCTTTAAATCTGGAGGGTAAAGGAATGTCTACAATAAAGCTAGATGATTTTTTTTTCTTTTTCCCTAGTCCTGTACCTAAAACAGAGCCTCTGCTAAAATTAAGCTTTGTGTGTGTGTGTTGAGATTTAATTTCTCTTCTCTTACTCTGTAATACATCTAGTCTTGACTTAAATGATCTCAGATCCAGCTTGAGCCCTTCTGAGCTTTGCTTTCACCAAGTGATTTGCCTCAGCGCTATATATTTAGGAAGAAAAAAAATATGGTCTTAAACATTTAATCAAAGTTAAAGTCGTCTTGTGGTCACTATTGCCACAAGTAGCTAGGAAAGCCACTTCCTTCTTTTTCAGAAGATTTCTTCCCCTGCTCAACTTCCACTGATTGACACAGCAACAAGCAAATACTAATTCTTAGTAGCAAATATTGTTAACTGGGTATGGGCTAAGTGAAACATTACAACAGCTACTGCACAAATGTATAATTAAGCATTCTTAAGAAACTAGCTTGAAATTAGTACGTTACTTGTTAAGTGCAGTGTGGTTGTCTCATTGGCTCTCCCAGTTGGAACTGCAACTAGGTTAAGGCTACAAAAATAGCTGTCATGGGATGTTTGCAGTAGTTTTTCTTCTGAAATGAGAATCCTTTTGGAGTAGAAATCTAATGTTCCCTGGACCTTATTATTAAAAGGAATTTTGGATCAAATAGAAGCATGCTAGCTGGTAAAAAAAAAAAAAAAACAGCTGTTTTATACTCAGGTATGTTCTTATCTCTTCTACTGTCACAAGAGCTGTCACAGACTGTGGCTATCAATGAAATCCAAATCGTGGTATTGGTTAATCAAAGTAACCATGTACTAATTATTAATATTAAACTCTGCAATATAAACAAGAGATTTGTTAAATTTCTAAGCAGATTGTTTTCCTGTACCTGGCCTGGCTCAGACAGAGTGCTATAGTAAGAAGCAGCAACAGCAGCCTGGTGATATCTTTCCTTCTCAATGTCTGTTTTGATAGAGTGCAGTTGTTTCCTGATGATGCTGGCCTATGCTCTCTTGAAATACAAGCTAACAGACAGTAAAATGGAAAATTTATTAGTGCAAGTTGGTCACTCAGTTTCTTCCAACAAGTACACAATAGCATCCCACGCTTCCTACATACAAACAAACCTGTCCTAAGTTAAGAAAAGCTGAACTTGTCTTGAAGTAACAATGTGTTACATATTGTCATCATCTGATTCATCTTCCTCTTTCAAAGATTCCTGTTTTAAAAAAGAAAGTTTAATTAAAAAACATTAACAGCCATTTTATAAGTCAGCCTATAATATGAGTTTTGCTGTAGCTTCACAATGCCCTCAATCTGTCCAAGGCCTGGTGTTCACAGGCTAGTTTGTATCTTTAGGAGGTCATACTGAGCACCATCATTACTCTTAAAGGAAATGCAAAGCTCTCAAATGCTGGAATTCTCCAGCTGGCTATCTTTAAAAACTGTTCCAGGCAACATGAGTTACTACCTCTCCTACTTGCTCATAGCACTGTTGGAAGAGTTGATACATTTACTTTAAAGGAGAAACACACCACCTGGGCAAGCCTGCTGAACTGCACTGCTTTTGGAACCAAGAACTGTCCCTGGATTACACCACAGACTTCACTGTTCTCCCTTCAGAGAACATCAGCCAGTGCTGCAGTGATGTGTGTGGTACCTGCACGTTCTCCAGCCATCACAGCAGCAGGCACCTCACCTTCACTTAGTTCCTCCTGCTCTAGACTTGGCAAGTGAAGCACTGAGACAACGCTTCAGTCAGACCTTACCTTGGCATATTTCTCTGCTTCTTCCCTGATGTCTTTGGGAACAATTTCATGTTTTCCATTGGTTACTGCAAATAAAAAGAGTATATCTTAAGTAGAATTCACAGAAAGACCTTGACAAAATGACTAAGAAGCAATGTTTTACTTCAGTTACAGAAAGCTATAAATTCTCTATAGTGTTTATAGAAATGACGGAAATGCATTACTTTCTCCAACCCAGCTGAGTTCCAGCTCAAAAGCTTTATCCTTTACTTCATCGTGAACTATGTAGATTCTGGAAGGAACAGAGAAAGTACAGATTAGAAAAGACTAAATACACTTTATTCATTTCACAGATTTCTTCTGTTGAAATACTCTTCTATGGTTAATAGATGTTCTCCCCATGCTTTCTCCTCTGCCCTCTCACACAAAACTATCATAATTTTCCAGACTTGATTGCTAATGTAACCATACATTAGATGATTCCAGGTAAGATGCAAGTTGAGATGTTCAAGTTGTCATAATTAGAACAAATATTAAGATTCAAATACTGCAGAACTAAGGCTACATCATCACTGCCTGCTTCTGCAAGATGAGCTGGAAGAGTTAGGAGTGTCCTGTATTTCTCTAGTCAATCTTATTTCAGTTTACACTTCAGACTATATCCCACCACCACAGCATCTTGTGCCCAATCAGAAGCCTGTACATAGATCTCCAGAGTCCCATTTGTATGGCAAAGGATGATATTCTGAACTGAATCCACAAGTGGCCTCACAGCAGACAGAGCACCATCCTGACTAGGAAAACCCCACCTTAGTCTGTGGGATAAAAATGTTACACTGGCACAGTGACACTGATGTTACTGCACTGTAGGATTCAGTCCTTAGTGGCAGAACATGTGAATGAACCATAACACCCCTAAGGTGACCTCAAAACAGCTCAGAGCCACCTGTGGCTTCACCTGCTGAGAAGGTTGTAATCCTTGCTCTTTCTGAAAGCCTTAGAAGGTCAAAAGCCAAAAACTACCACCTATTGCTAGCCAACACAGAAAGCTGGGAGCCACTGGAGGAAGGCAGGATACCTTCAGCACCATGCTAAGCACGTCCCGTAAAGTCTGACAAGTTAATGTTGGTGTCCAGGGAAATAGCACTATGTGCTTGTGTCCTTCTGGCACCCTTCACTGGTGTCACTGTTGGACTGCACTTACTGATCCTTGCCCATGACCATCTGTAGGCTACAAGCTTTTTGCAACAAAGTGACCATTACAAGCTCTCCAAGGAATCATAACCCTAAAATACTAGCCGAGAGTGGAGAGTAAAAAAAAAGATCTTTGCTATCTTGCTAAATGCTTCTGAGGAGCTGAATTTGAGCTGAGAAATTTGTGCCATTTTAGAACTGCTTTGAGGTCCTTGCTATGTTTCAAGAACAGATCCCACAGATTCCTTCCTCTAGCTGCTGCCATGACAGCCTGGGGCACAGACTCTGAAACAAACTCACATCCTGCACACCAATGACAGAAGCAAATTTGTTACTTCTTTGTAACCTCCTCAGCAATAGCCATAAAACGCTGGAGATCAGATGTGAGGCTGCAGAGTATTAAATTTGTCACAGGCACAGAACACGTGCATTAGAGTGAAGTGCTGTGGATGCCTGGAAGGATACTTGTATTTGTTTGAAGAGATACTAATTCACAAAGTCTTTGCAAGATAGTTTAGTACTGGCTAATTCAGGCTCCACCTAAAGCAGCCCTCTCTTCCTGGTATCTTTTTTCCCCCTCAGTAGTAAGTGACTTACTTGATGATACCTTTTTTCCTGTAAACACACTACCCTCACACAGAGTCTGTGGGACACTATTAGTGGCTACAGGCGATTCTATCACTGATGTTTTGTCCTAAACTGCAAAAGTAAACAGCAAATTAAATATTTCCAGTCTCTTCATGTGATACCAAGTGTTGTAATTTAAATGAAATCAGCTATACCCTATATATACTACTAAACAAAGACAGACTGCTTCTTTCCCAAGCACTTGAGCCTTTTTTAGGCAAAGAACTCAGCAATGTTTCTAGGCTGCTACTTGATGTCTGAGGCACAAGTTCACAGTTCAATCTGCCTAACAAAGCATAAAGCTCATTCCTCAGAATCAGGACACCAGGGAGCTTTCCTCATCTGTCACCTGGTTTATGTATTTTAAAACCAGTGACTATATTCAGACAATTGAACTTTTAATCCATTGCTGCTACAAGTTGCACCTATAAAAAATAGCAGATGAGATCAAAAGCTGTACTTTTCACATCCTTTGGCATCTTTTAGTACAGAGTAACATATCTCATCTCACAAGAAGAGCAAAAATATTAGTAACAGAAGCTACTAAGAGTCAGCACAAGCACTAATCTAGTAGAAGTGAAGCCTGGCACTCAATTTAAAAGGAACAGCTTCAGTCTGAAACCACAGCAAGCTCACCAGGACAGACTTTACCGAGTTGGAAAAACCGGCTGGAGACTTACATTTTTGCAACCTCTTTAACAACGTCACGGCAGGTCATTTCTTTCATCTGCAGACAAAAAATACACAGCTTAAGAGAAGACAGTTTTCCCTTTCCACAAGGCCAGCATGAGTGGCTGCACACATGCCTAATGAGCAGCAGTGATAAAAGTAACAAAAAGTTAAGACTAGAACCAGATTTATTCTCTACGATGAGTCTTTCAGCCTGCTACATGGAAGTCATGCTTCTAGTGAAGAATTTTACAGCTGAAAGATTCTATGAAAGTGTTATGTGGCAACTTGGCCAGTTTAAAACACTCATCAGCTAGAGGGTTAGAAGCTGAACAGATAAATCTTGGCATTGTAAATGCTTGACTTGTTCTTAAATGCTTTATGATCAACTGACATAAAATAACCACATGTACAACAAGAGAGAAGCACCATTCTTTCATGTGTGATATTCTCATTCTTTCTAGGCAGTATAGTAACACTTTTGGTCTTATCAGCATTTTATACAAGCAATTTTGACTTATTTTAAATAATGCCCTAACAGGAGAATATTGTTCCAGTCTTAACAAGCACCTGCATGCCTGAGCAAGGTTATCAGCACCTCATTTTATATTTTCTCACTGTTACATCACAGCCTTTTGAAAGTTTCACAGTTGATCTAAACAAAAGTCTGGTGCCAGTTTCCATGACATAATAAACTTAGGTTTTGGAGGTCGAACCTCTTGCCTGTCAACTCTTCTGGAGTATGCAGTATTAATATCTTCTATATTTTGTATCATCTCTTCCAATTCTCAAAATGTTTTTGAAACCACGGTATGGAAGATAGTTCTGGGACACTGATGAAAGAATTAAGGACAAAGGTGCTTTGCTGATGCTGAGTGTCACAGCCCTTTCAGGGGTGAAGCACACACCCACAGCAGGCAGTGGGCCAGAGCAGACGTGCCCACGCCTGGCGAGTCAGACAGGCCATCACAGTCCTGTCCCAGGAATTTTCCTCACCAAAGACCCACTGCCCCAGCCCTGATGTTAGTGACACTTGAGCCACAACACACACAGCACTGGCTGCTGTGCACCAGAGTAACCTGTGCCACACAGGCCTGTAAGTCACTGTGTGCAATGATGCATGTGAAGTCAGCAGATAGGAAACCCCAAAGGTCTGCTACTGTCATGCCTATTTACAGGAGAGAAAACTGAAGTACATTTGCTTTTTGCCATTATCCTTTTCCCATCCCAGGTGTGTTCATTCTGCAGACAGTAAGAGTAAACACTGTCACAGTTTATCACAGGCATTAATTATGATTATGTCCATAGACCAGAAAGTTGTACGCAGTGTTGGAGCTGCATGAGAAATGCTGTACAAGAGATGGAGAGATCCCCACACTCTCCACACGACCACAGGTTCTCCCACAGCTGTAACGAGGCTCCCCTGGACTGTGTCCCCTCCCAGGTGCAGATACAGAACCTGCTCTGCCCACCTGTGAGGCAGGTTTCAGGCTTTGACTATCTGCTCACCTCTTCACTTTCCACCTGCAGCACCCTCCACGGGAACAGATCTTAGCTGACAGGCCACTGTAGGTGGTATCACCTCACAAAAGCTTTTGTACTTCTGTCTTTTATCCACTTCAGTTTTGACAGATTGATCTCTGCCAAGCTAACTCTGACCTGGAAACCTGCCCAGTCTACAGTTAACAAGAAGCATCAGCGTGCCAGAGTGGACTTGCTGCCACTGCTGGGACCAGACCACACGTGTTACTGGAGACATCCTGCACACAAGCCACTAAATAAACAAATGCAGTTAGGCCACAGGGCACACCACTGTTCCAGGTACCAACTTCTACAGGCTCCACTGAACAGCTCAAGCAATACACACACTTCTCAGCTGTACAAAAAATCAGTCAATAAGCCAGCAGGTTCTGAAAATCCTAGCACTGCCCAGAAAATGAATTTTTAAGGGTGGAATATGTTCCCCAACATGTCATTATCTTTCTGCCAGTTTGTGCACGTGGAAATGGAAATTATCATTTCCCAGATGCCACAACTCCAGTTTCAAGATCAGATGATCTTGTAGGCTTCTAACTTTTTATTTGGTATTCAAACATCTGACCAGATTCAAGACTGAGTGAATCAAGTCTAAGAACACTGTAATTTTTCCTGTAATTTTTCCTGTAATTTCTCAGTTACCACAGCACCATAAACAGGCTATTCTTAAAAGCATAACAAGCATCCAAACTCCAAACCTCTCCACAAGCAGCTGTGATGTACTTCTGCAGACCAAACCCATGAGTAAGATGCTAACAGAGTTTCAAGAAAGAATTACACACGACAGACCAGGAGTAGGATTTTGTCCCACGTTAACCATCTCCAGTTCCAGGGGTGTCAGAACACAAGAGGAAGACAGAAGTCTGCTAGGATTCTAACATAATTCTAAATCAGTCTAAGGGACATAACACCTTCCAGTATTCTTCTCTCCACAGAGTTGTTTACGCAGCCAACTGTTTGTGTGCTCCCTCCACCCCTCATCCTTAACAAGACCAGCTTTTTTAGCTTTTTAAACAAATGATCATCTGAAACCTTTGGAAGAGAACACAGAGACCACCCTGCACAATGCTGCCCTAAGGTTTTAATTCACAACTAAACACTCAGTTACACTTCGATAGCCATTCAAGGACTTTGCTGGCTGGTGTGCATGGGAGAGCAAGTTCATGCTTCCTGGTTTAAACCTGTGCACTCCCTACAGACTCCCCACTGCCCAGGGGCAAGACTTGAGAAATCCTGCTGCTACAGAGGCAGTACCACCCTAGGATATACAAGGGAATATTCCATCTGCTTCTCCTGAATTTTAGATGCTTTAGGCTTCCAAAAAGGTCACGTAAGCAGCTAGGACCATGTCTTGAAACAGCACAACAAAACCGTAACGTCATACCTGAAGTTTTTCTATCTCTGTCTTTGCAGCCTGCCTGGCCTTGCCAATGGCACACCCCCAATAACCCTGAAAACAAAGAAAGAAAGAGACAAAATTAAGTGCTAATAAATACCACAGTTCTTACTGTCACTTAGCATGACAACTCCCACCCTACTCACACAGTGAGAGGTTAATACACAGTAAACCTCAGTACTCTCTTGGGGCACATTCCCCTGTTGTTGAATAAAACCCAATTACTAGATTAAGCACTACTGCTGTTGAGGGAAAAGAGAAGTGCTTAGTACTTCTCTTTTCCTGGACAGAAAAGAGTACTGTTTGTTTTTCCTGGTCAGACACGTTTCTGCTCAATTTGTTGCAACAGGTAATTTTTTTTTTAATTGTTACTACAGTAAATGAAAGAGCAAACTAGAATTGGAGAAGTTCTACAGGATCAATAAAATCAAAACTGCCTACCATGAAAATACATTGAAGGGTAAGCACATAAAAATTAAGCACTCCTATTTTCCTCAGCGGCTGTGGTACTGGATAGACTGAAAGAAAATTTAAAAACTCAGTACAATCTGTGTATTGTCCTGCCTGCAGAGGCAGCACTAACAATTAACAGAAGTATCTCTTTTGCTTTGACTTGCTGCTAGCAGCCAGTGTCAGAGTAGCAGCTCTCTCTAATCTAAAGTGTTTTGTCAATGGGGTGGCACTCCAAAACTTGCCCTTTTGGGACTTTTCATTGGCTATAGCCAGGTGAAAGGAGCTCCTGAATTCCTGAGAGAAAAGCTTTAAAACTAGTTTCATGAAGACAGTACTTCAAAGAAATACACAGTGTGTGTTTAACAAGAACACACAAATCAGCAAAATCCCACTGTTCCTTTTAGGCAGTGATTCACCAGAGACCTTCCCAAGCAAAAAGAGAAAAGTGAACAGCTCTTTTGGGACAGCACTGACTCTCTTCCTAACTAGGAACTTTTGAGACGGGAATTTATGCCATGAGGGAAATATTTTTGGGATACTCACGTATGAAACTCCTGATGGGTCAATCATGTACAGTTGTGCACCATCATCTTCATCATAGGAGCCCAACATGAAACTGGAGGGAAATGTGAAATTAGAAACATTTCTTCTACCAACACGCACAGAATTAGACTACACCAGCTCAGGCTTCCTGTGTTCCTCCTGGAGCAGAATTCCTTCTGTCCTGCTACATTCTGTTATGCAATTGGAACAGTTTAGTGCAACCGTGACAGCCCAGCACTGGCAAGCTACCAGAAGCAGTTTATCTATCTGTAACTAGACAGCAAATCTCAGTTTTTCACTCCCTTTGTACTAAAACTGCACAGTGGTTGTAACCTGCTCTTTAGCTACCAGGGCAAGCAGGATAATTGCAGAGGAAAGTTCTGCTTTCCTCACTGTCATAGTCTTAACAGCATCAACACTTAAACTTCAGAATTGAGGGGCAAAGTGGCAATCTGTGTTAGAAGCTGAGTGCCCTGTTACACATATCTGAGTTCTTCCCCTGAGGTTTTAAACAGAAAAAGAAAGGAGAAGGGAATCTGTTTGAGATGAATTGTAGGTCACCAATTCAAAGTTTAAAAAAAGCAAGGCAACCCAAATAGTTCCAACTGTGAAACCAAAAAGGTCCTTGCAAATATGGGTATGTTTGAAGGTTTACCTGCAGCCAAAGGGCCTGACAGCACTGTACAGAGTGTATGCGTGCACGTACATGGCCACCCGCTCTGCCAGGTGCTGCGTGGAGAAGAGGAGAGAGAGGAGAGCTTTACTGGCAGGTATAAGTAAAGCTCAAGTAATAAATGTAATTCTCTAGGCCAAAACTAAAAGCCAGAAATCCTGTGTGACCTGCACCAGTTCCTTACCTTCAGTGGAATATCGTATCCATAGTTAGATCTGAAGTTGGAAGCCTCTTCTCTAGCTATGTCTGCCAAAGAACGAGCGTCTGCCAGCAGTCCTGCCACTGCCTGCAATGAGACTGGTCAGCAGCCAGGCCACAGCCCCTCCAGTGACACAACAAAGCCCAGGGACCAAAGTCTAACTATGTGACCCAGCTGTCAGCTCTACTCAACTCCAGCTATGACCACAAGTGAGTTCAGTCACTATCCATCTGCTAGCAAGCTCAAAACGTGTCAAGATTATATCAACTACAGAATAGAATTGTTCTCTAGGAAAATCTATTCCCTGCTTTGCTGTGATGACACCGACCCAACCAATACTTTGTATAATATGTATTTAACAGATAGTTTCACATTTCTGTTATACAGCAGCCACCACGTGACATCACCCCAACATCACCATTATGGGATAGCCACTAATCTACATGTCAGTTTTTACTGAATTCCACCAACTCCTGCACTGCTGAGAAGAGAATCTTGCATGCAGCATGTTTTCCCCTTAACACACCTTATCTGTCAATAAAAAAGTATCACTGGAACACTTATGCTTATATTTATGTTCAAGTTTGACCAGCTGGGATGCCAAAAAGCATTTCAAAAAATTTCAAACAGTGTAAAACATGGATATCCTCTATTTTAAATTTAGATGTTAATTATATATACGTATGCAGAAAAGAATAAAATAAAACAACCCAAAACCACTGGCATTTCTGACTCTGTACACAGAAACATCAACATGACTTTCCTTTTGTACTTTTTATTGATTCTCTGATTCAGTTTTCTACTTTTGAGGAGATTCAGTTTATGAAGATGTGCATTAAACAGCCCCCTACCATTCCGACGTGGCGATCGACATTGAAGAGACGTTTGTTGGAACCTTCTTCATACAGCTTGGACAGAACGAGCTTTTCTACTCCAAAGACAACACCATCTTTGCATCTGATCCCAATTGCTGTACTGAAAGGCAAGATAGATTTAAGTTCCTCAGACAGAATTGTAGAATCATAGGGTTGTTTAGGTTGGAGAAGACACTTAAGATCATCAAGTCCAGTGTGGTGTAAAATAGGTAACAGGACTGACAATATAGGAGAAATTCACTGTAGATCTAGGAGCTGTGACAGCTCTTGTTGCACTTAGGGACACACTCTCAAAAGAAAGGCAGATATCTGTATCTTACCTGCTGTTCTCCACAGCTTTCATAGCATACTCGACCTGAAATACTCTGCCATCTGGAGAGAACGTGGAAGCTGACAGGTCATACTGAAGAAGAAAAACACACTATTCAGAAAAAAATACATACCCCAGTATTTCCACAAGTTCATTTATGTAAAAATGCAAGACTGTCACCTGCATGACAGGCTTATGCCTTGAGTCTTATGACTGTTACCTAAGATGCACGAAGGGCAGAAAACACCCCAAAAACTACAGGTCACCACATCAGTGCAGGATCTACCCACACGTCAAATCCTGGCAACCCAGGCCTCGCAGGGGTCCACGATCACCGTGCATGACACGACACTTAAAGGGTACGGGAACCCCCCGTGTGCCTTTTCACTTTACTTTACCGGTTTTGAAACCGTGGGTTCTTATGAGCGGGGTTTTTATGGTTTTATGCTTAAACGCGTGCCAGGCACCGAGACAGGCGCAGCCCCCGCTCTCGAGGGGCCTCCCCA